AAGGAAGCTGTCCACCAGGATACATGAACACCAAAGAGCGTGCAAGAACCATTACGCAACCTCATTGGTCTCAGCACATGTGGATGAAGAGGGACACAGGTTCGACTAGAACAAGGTAGAGATCTTGACCGAAGGAGAAACACAAAAAGGGAGGGAGTTTCTCGAAGCCTGGTTCTCAACCACGAACTCAATCAACATGCATATCGACCTCGATCCAATATACCAACCGCTGAGACAGAGAGAGTTCAAGAGGATCAACAACCGTTGCCCGAAAGAACCTAATCCAACACACGGACAATGAACAGCATGGTCAATATGAGCCCAGACTACTCACCCACACCTGTTGCACCAATCCGAGTGCGATAATCCCAACCACGTCGCAACAACATTTCCGCAGTAAATGAAAATGAGTCGAGCACAACCGCTTAACACAAGGATTCACCAATGAGAGCGAGGCAAAATTAGTAGCCCCGTATGCCTATATAAGGAACGGAGTGGTTGTTGACAGTATCCATTATTGGGTTTGCTTTCCACCAGCTACTGCTACTTAACTGCTATCAATCCCGCACTGAAGATGCCACCTCGAATGGTGGCGAAACGTCTGCAATCAAGTTGCCCAGCTCGGAGAACTCCACAACAACTGAACATTGTGATCGTTGGCGTCAGTGAAACATTGCACTGAATGTACAATTCTGGACGAATGCAGGATGTACTGGCAGTGTTCTCGGGAGAAGGTTATCATAAGCTGGTGGTTGACAATGCAAGATGCATAAGTATAGAGCTAGTAGTGTGCGACCAAATTCGGCACAGTAACTCCGAAAAACCAAGGATGTACGAATGCTCAACTGGCACAGCGCTGCTAAATGGGGTACATAAACCCATGATATGTGCAAGGAAGATTTTGATGTAGGCAATGAGGTGTGCCTGATTTTGAACGTGGACATGTTGATGAGTGCTCTCAATGCTTTCATATATGCAACCGTGCATGTGCGCCGCTTGTATTGTTTGCGAAGCCAGATCCAATTACTACATGGACACTGGGTCACGATACGGACAGTTGAAACGGATTTGGATGCAGACAAAGAGAATAAGGGACGCACCCGAATTACACAAGCCAGGTAATTCGCTGCGTCCGATTGTGGACAAACAACTCACCTAATAACAATGTTGCTCAGTGGCTAGCGAAACCCCTAAACGTCGTGAAGTAAACTCTTGGCTACGCGTTGCCTGAGACTCAATTGAACTATCGGAGACAGGAACAATCCTCACCGAATTCGGAGCTTCTGTACGCTGTATACGCGAACACCCTATTCACAAAGGTGCCTCTTCGGGAGAAAGACGAAGATCTGTAGTAGTATAGTCAGCCGTCTATCGAATAGACATAGAGCCGAACATAACCATAGAAATCACTAACAGAAGACAGATTGAACACCGGATCAGCATCATTGCACATTAAGTGAAGGTGAGCAACACACTTCAGCTATTGCGCTGCAATATAAAAAACGGAGCAGTGTTTTACCATTTTGCACACGCCATGTTTTTTTAATTTTTATCGTTTTTAATCGTTAATCATTAAGGATCCAAATCTAAGCAGTTATATACACAGATCCTCCACTGGTTTCGATTACGAGCCATATCCTGAATTGTTTCCAGCCATCGGCACTCCTCGTCCTTTGGTCCCCAACCAGGCAGACGTGTGGATCCAATGGTGGCAAGACGTGAAGTCAACGATTTCATTTGCTGTCGCCAGGTGGATGGTGGACCACCACGTGATCTCTTCCAGTTGAGTCCTGCACGAGCAAACAGAGCGCGATAGGGCAAACGCTCAGTTGACATACGCAAAACATGATCGAGCCATCTTAATTGGCGCAGCAAAACCAGCTTGCTGAAGGGAACACTCGCATTCCCTAAAACACGACGTCTGACCTCACTGTTGCAAATGTGTTGTTGCCAGCACACACGAGAAATCCTTCTCAAACACCTGTTGCCGGAGGCCGAGAACCGGCGCATATCGTCTACGCGAATTGGCCATGATTCGCTTCCATATAGCAACACCGCCCGAACGGTGGCATTGTAAACACGACCCTTTACCGCCCAAGAGGGAGATATCCCGGCGACGCCACAACTGATGCAAGTTGACAAACGCCGACCGACCTTTGGTGATGCGAAGAGAAACTTCCCTTCTAATGGTCCAACCAACAGACACACAGCTGCCAAGGTAGGCAAAGCTATCCACTTGTTCAAGCGGTGTACCTCCAATATTGAGCACGGGAACAGTTGACTGCCAATCCTTTGACGGGGCAAAGCACATCCCGTAGCTAGATGCCTCAATCGCCAAGCGGTCTAGAATGGTTTGCATACTCTGTGATTCCTCACCAAGTAAGGCGATATCATCGGCATGATCTAAGTCGGTTGCTCGCTTGCTCGGTAATAGCTCTATACCAAAATTTTGACAACCGTCTAGAGCTCTCGACAGGATGTCTTCAATCGCAAAATTGAAGAGGAACGGGAACATAAGGCAGCCTTGTCGTACACCGCTAATGACAGCGAAGGACGACGAAAGCCTGCCATACACCCTCACTTTGCCAGAGAAGTGGAAATGCAGTGCGCGTAGGATGGCAGTGTACTTTTCTGGGACACCATTCCTTAGCAAACAACACCATAGTGCAGGTCGATCAACCGAGTCGAATGCGCAACGGATGTCCAGGAATGCAACGATGGTAGGCCTCTGGTAAACGTATCGGTATTCCAGTATTTGACGTAGTGTGAATATCTGATCCACACACGCGCGGCCAGGTCGGAAGCCAGCTTGTTCTTCCCGGTACTGCGATTCACGAATGGGAGATAGTCTTCGGAGTAGAATGGATGTCAATAGCCTGGATGTAAGCGAAATGAGACGAATCCCCCGGTGATTGGTACACGAAGTGCGAGCATCCTTCTTAAAAACCGGGATAATAACTGACTCGCCCCAGAAAGAAGGCACCTATTCTTCATGCCAGATTTTGGAGAACAATGGGGTTAGCTGGCTAATGATATCTTAGCACGACGATCTGTACCAAAACATGTGTCTTAGGCTCTATTTGGGAGCAGTTGTGGGATATGATTCTAATATGAACAAAAAAGGTGTTTTGAGTTTCAGGGACACCATATAAACATAATGACGGTGTCGCCATGATCAGCCGTGTGGGACCATTTTGATAAGCATCCTTCTCGGCTTCAGTGAAAGGCAGGTTTCAGCCGGTTTTGGTGGAGCGTAATCGTACAGACAATGTGCAAATGACATTCTGGTCTTCACCAGCGGCGAACACTTTATGCGGTTTTCAACTATACTGAATTAAACTCACCTCAACCTCTCGGTATCTTATGAGACAGAGCAACTCGGAAGCCTGCCATTTTCGAATATCCTCATTAAGAGAGGTATACCGCAGTGCTCCATTTGCCACAAAGCAACCTGGAGTTGGTAGTACCTACACTTTTCCAGCATCGCCCAGGTCGCATACAAACGCGATCTAGTGAAAACACCTCTACAGATGCAGACGAATTTGAGTTCAGAAATGTTAGAAATTGAAGATGAGTTCCTACAGAGAACATTAGTGTCTAAAGGATATTATGAAAACTTCATCCAAACCCACAGCATTTGCTTTAGAAGGGAACCACCAGTAATAACAGCAGAGAAAATATGAAAACCCTTGATCCCAAATGTTCTCCGCATATCTCAGAATGCGTTAGCTTTAAATATAAAGCCAAAGATTCTCGCAAGTTAAGGAACACTGTGCGAACATTCGAAATGCCCCTCACAAATCCGCTAGTGTCACCCGTCACCGCGACTAACAGGCCGCAAAATATGGGACTCTGGAGAGCACTTCAAACTAATTAGAGTCCATCGAAAAATCACTGTTTCCACCAAGTATGAGTCGGTCCATGCGACTGCAAGCGCCGAACTAGGACAGCTTCCCAGAGAGGATCACGAGATCCAGTTGGCGCAAGGTGTTAAGGGGATAGAACCAAGGATCCTCTCGGTTGGTTCCTGTAAGCTTAATCAACTGATTTGAGGCATAGACGGCGAAAAAAGCGACTGTAAGCAGGGCTGCAAGTAAAATAAGCTGTGATACTCTTCAGTCGTCAACTTCGGCCTGTACGTTATGTGGAGCTTTCCGAATACCTATCCGACCGACCAAAAGCATCGCTGAGCCTCGCTTTCAATATCTGTCGTGCTCAGTGACTTATGGATGCTTCAACACCATGCGAACCTGAGGTATTGTGCGAGTTTCGTCGTATGAAACATCACACGCCGTGATTGTAATGCAATTCCTAGGGCCTCTTCAAAGTTGGGCCCTTCGCTTCGCCGACAGACTTGGGCTATATAAGTCATCCCGTCCGATCTGAGCTTAGCTGATGTCGGGAATGTGCTCTAAGAGTGCAAGCGATTAGGATGCACATGACATCGAGGGATCAAGCTAATCTGTGTTATCCACAAAGTGGACGCCACCTTACCCGTAGGTAGGCTGTCGAGCAAGTAAACGGCGCATGCATGAAGAGCAGGTAGTTTCTCCAACGTCATAGCCGCACCCACCCACTGTATTTTTAAGACCTGCCTAATAATTGAGCGACATCAGAGGTTAAGTAGGACAATAGCTGTTGTTTTCTTACCCAGCGAGGCTCGGGTGATAGATTGTTCTGTGGAGTTAGTTAATGAGAAAAGGAGTGCTACGTGAGCCTGCTAATGTTCCCCAAACGACCTTGCGAAAATATGCCGTGATTTTCGGTTGCCTTTATAACGAAAGTGATGCAAGGTAGGGCTATTTAGAGATAATTGTCTCACTAATTTTCCCGATGGATGGATGAAAACTTCGGGCTCAGTGGAACCGAACTTCATCTAAGAGACAAGGCTTGGAGTACGCTAAGGAGATCGCTGTAATTAATAATTCCTTGGAAGCTGCTCCCAACATGCCACGTTATTTGTGAATGACCACCACACAGTACTGAAGAGCACCCGCCAATAGCCAGGTAGAACGATAGTATTGTGTAGCCGTATACAAGAAAAAGGAGAAGCCAAAGACAACCGTTTCACATGATGGGTGCATGTCAGAAATAAAAATGATACAGCAGGCGAGAGGACTCAGTGTGGAACTTTTCAAGTGTACACAGTGAGTACAGGGGAAATGCTAAGCGTTCTTGTTGTTGTTGTCGTCACCGAAATGCAAGGCCTGCAATAGAAGGTAAATAGCAACGATCAGAATAGTACGGTCATAGAAAATGAAAGCAGGAAAACCACTAGCGATAGCTGAGAACATAAATCGGTGTCATCTAGACAATGAACATTACGATCACACGTGTAACCATGATACGTGCTCACGATGGTCGGGTAGCGGCCAACAAGGTGACCGAAGCTGAGTCGGAGAATTTACCTCCCTAATGCAGGTGGTCAGAATGGCGCTGTTACAGAAATGTTAACAGAGTGCTAAGGTGATGCTTTGCCTGTTGAAAAAGAAATATAGAAGAGCTTGATCGTAAGATCCAGGCTCAGCCCCCTTATCCGTTAGTAAACGGCGTAGTCTCTGCAAAGCAAGCGACGAGTAACATGTTGGAGTAATTGGTGCGGAGCTACTTCCTGCTAACTCAGATAACAACTATGTATGATTTGAGGAAGGCTGGGTATCAAACTATGCAGGTGATCAGAAATGGCCCAGTGTGAAAATGAAACAAACATGAGAAAATGACTTTGTCCCGCAATGAAGATCTTGACACAAAAGGACACGCTATGTGGCGAAAACAAGATCCGAGAAAAACAACATACCTCAAAATAGCCGGTGTGATAGCCGCACATAAACCAACTGATCAATAGTGCTTGCCAAGGGGTTTGTCCTCCAGTTCCATTCCTACTGCTGCTGGGTGGGGGTTTCAACGCGTTTGCGTGGGTACCTGAGGCGGGTGGAGTTGAAATGTGCGGTTTACGAACAGATGAGCCGGAAGGACTATTCCACAATGGCGATTGTTGGGCGGTATATTTTGTCAGCTGCTCTATACCCGCCAGTATATCCTGCGCAAACTGAGGGCCAGATTCGTGAGAAAACGACGGATTGAGAGGTCCATCAGGCAATTTTGCGTGTCTGGGTTTGTCAAATTGGTCTTTGGATGATTCGTGCAGTTTAGATCCCAAAGTCAATGCCGTGGCGCACTTATCAGTGCTATTAGAGGGAATGAAAATAGGAATGTTTACGAAACATCGTGAGTTTATAGCACTACATTGAGATAAGTAATGCGGATGGAGGTAATCGATATCTGAACATTGTAGAAATGTTGTGGTTTCCGTGACTGTAAGAATAACCTGTTACTAATGCGCAATCTGAAGCGGCCGAGTTCCCAGAGCAGAAAACAAAGGTCTCTGGCAAAACCTCAATAGAACATTCAACAAACAGTATCCCCGGCCCAAGATGGGGTCAAAACAAAGAGTTCATGAGATGACCTAGATGAAGGTTCCTGCATTCCAGAAACTATTAGATGCCGGAAAATATGCTTACGAGTTGTCCAAAATGTGCGGTCATGGGCGGACTTCAAGACAGATAATACTCAATGGTCGAGATTAAAGTGTAACGCTCTCATTGACTAGCAAATTGGCTTCAGGATACGTCGGGCCAAACTTCTTTGGGCGGCTAGCGTAAGAACCGGCTCAGAAGGCTGAAAAAACTGGCATAAAATTTTCTTCTTGGATCCAATTTCATTTTGATGATGGATCTCCATATCCGATCAGTGCATCGTCGTGGCTGGAAGTCGTTTCTTCTGCGGTCCCTGGGCGAACTTCATTCATCCAGTCCTGAGTTAGAGGGTGTGTCGAAGTAGTCCAGCAGAAAATCCAGTGGTGGCGATCGTCCTTTGGTTGGCTTCAGGTAATTTGCGTGTCTGATTCAAATCACGATGCACGCTAGAATTCTATAGAGTACGTGTCTAAGTCTGCACTCGATCGAGCTTGTTCTCCATTGTGATCTTCTCGTGCGATAATCTCTTATTAAAAGCACTCTGTCCTGGGGGAATAGACGTGTTGGCGCTGCGTCGGTGATTGGAGTAGATTTCTATTCTTACGCGGCGATAGACTTCGGAAGCAGCAAGCAATTCAGGGTACGGAGTTTCCTACCCATTAGCGCTTCCACTGGAGACAGCTGATTTGGAACCTGAGGGTTGGTTTATTTGTGCAGTGAACGGAAAACATTCATCTTTAGCGTGGTTCCTCCTCCCTCATCTTCAATAACGCCTGCTTAAACATATCAACAAAGCGTTCCGCTTGCTCATTGGAGTGTAGGTTTGTGATACCATTCTGAGCACAGCATCCGGCATACCGTGAAGAAGCGAATTGAGAACCATTGTTAGTGACTAGGGTCTCCGGTATCCCACGCTAAGCGAAAATCCTTCTCAGTATGCTAGTGGTTGCGCCACTCAATGTACATTCCATGCAGAATACTTCAGGCCACTTGCTGAAGGAATAATCAGTAAGATGATACTGTTCTCCATTCATATGACCAGAGAAGTCCGCATGTACTTGCTTCCACGGTTTCATTGCCAGCGGCCAGGAAGACACTTTCGGTGTTCCGGGTGCTTTATTGACAGGTGCAGATTTGGAGCACGATTTTGTTAGCTGCTCAATCTCCGAGTCAATATTTGGCCAGTAAACATAACTTCGCGTAATCATTTTCCTTCTGTTAATACCAGATGGTTCACGATGAAACTTCTGCAGAAGTTCTCAGCGACGCTCTATGCATCAGAAGTAAATATCAGTTAACGATTGGCTGATTGTCCATCGGCCACTGAGAAACATGAAATTGGATCGTTCGCAGTAGAAAGGAATCCCGTATCACGCACCATCTCAGAAGTTACTGGAAGCCCTCTGAGCGTTTCCAACAATACCTAATTCAATTCAGACTCGAGGGAAATCGTTGCAATGATGGATTCCTACTTGCTCTGCTGATTTCCCCATAATAGGGAAAGTGCATCAAATGGCCTCGGTAGAAATGTGCTTGACCACAAAATCGTAGTCTAGCAATGTGGTGGCACACCGTTGCTACCTGTTTGTCTTATAGACAAGGATGTCCGAATTTGACATGAAAATTTGTCAACAATGGCTTATAGTCAGTAAAAAGCACAAAATTCCTTCCATATGACAAGTTGTGAAATTTATTTACTGCGACGACTATCAGCAAGACCGTAAGTTTGTACTGTGAGAGACAGCGACCTGACTGCATGTACAACTGTCTTATCTGAACCGTCTGCGAACTTGTGGGTTATGAGTGCACAAATGCCATAGTTCGAGGCGTCTGTGGTCACCGCAACTTCCAAAGTGGGGTCATAATGAGGCAACAGAATGTAGGCACACAGCAGTCTTTTTGCCTTCTCGAATGGTCTCTGGCATTCTTCGGACCAGTTCCAACGTTTATCCTTGGTCGACAGATCATTGAGTGGACCACGCAAGCAATGCATGTGCGGTAGAAGGAGTTGTAATGGTTTATGAGCCCTAGGAAAGACATTAGTGTTGGAATATCTTTGGGTAGCAGCATCCTGATCGCTGGGTCTGGATGCTTGCCGTTCCTATCGAGACATAAATGAATCCATAAAGAAGGTATATTTCTCAGGACGGAGCCCGAATTCATATTCTTCAGAAATCCGTGAGAATATTTGTAGCTCGGGATGCGGATGAAGGTATGCGGGTGTTCTCCGAGCTGGCTGATTTGGCTGCGAATGTTTCATCGTCAGGCTAGACGACATCATCAGTACGATTTATGCGGGCACTTGCAGATCCAAGACGCCCAAATACTGGATCCAGCTTTCGAATAGGTCATCAGCACTGACTCCGACAGCAATAATGTAGTCCAGGTATGAAGCTGCTCCATGGACATCTGTCGGCATTATGTCAATGATCTGCTGGAATATGGTTGATGCAGATTTGACTCCGAACGAGACGCAGTGGTACTGATACAATCCCCGGTGCCTGTTGAGGATGAGTACTTTCCGTGATGTGTCATGTACCTCGATCTGCAGGTATGCGTCGGACAGATCCAGGTTTGTGGAACGCTTACCCCATTCACTTTTGCAAACAAATCATCCGGAGATGGGATATTGACGGGCATACAATGCAGCATTCATACCCGCCGAGAAATGGGCGCATATTCGATGATCACTTGCTTTTTGATAACAACAGATGCCACTCAGGATGAGTTCACCGTACTTTTAAATGCTCGTATCTAGTCTAGACACTGACACGGCATGAGGAACCTCAAGGAGAGAATTGTTCCAAACGGATTTACAACCTTGTATGCAGACACGTCATCTGTAGCTCACTGCAATATGGTCTAACTGAGAAAAAGATCGACAGAGGGTGGGCGCCAAGTAAGCCGATGACGAGAGCTATGTTGAAAGCTGGTATAAAGAAACTAGTGAGTGGCAAGGAAAGATGCAGTCAATTCAGTGTGAACGGCACTGTCCTGTAACCTGGTTCATTGCAGATGTTACTGTCGCATTGCACTGATGAAATACTTGATAACAAAGGAACAGCGGTGTTATCGCATCCGGCATGGCGAAGCGCACAATGTTCCGCTCTGGAAATGACCGATTTCTGTTTGTCACTTCACAATCTGTTCACATGTAAAATGTGCAAGCCTATTTTGCTTCGGTCATGGGAAACCTGCCAACGATTACGCAGAAATGACTGGTGACAACAGATCACACATTTTCCCTAATGAACTTGCCCGCGAAAAGTAAGCGTGCCAAATTTCCGTAACCATGCTGCTGTTATGAATAGACATGAGTCATCTCGCGCGGAAGATTCAACAAAATGGGCAAAGAGAAAACGTAAATCACGTGTTAACTACCACCAACTTCAGCAGCAGACAGGTTAAAATCATTGGTGTGAAACAAGGTTCATTTCTTTGTCCATAAATCGCCCCGAGACCTGTATTGCCGTTCCCTTGAAAATACCATGTAATGTCGGTGCCATTGGCCTTACACCGAAAATCCCACTCTGTTACTAATGAACGGCTAACATTGGCAGTCGTCCTAGTATGCACACTTCATGCACGGCCGTTGCCGTCAAGGGTCAGAGCAATTCTACATTAGTAGGCGACAGTGGAATAAAAACAAAGAAAAGCCAGGTGGATTAATCAGAACTTGGTGGCCCTGAGAAGAGCCGTGGGGGTGTTCTCCAAAAATCGGTTACATTAGTTGCTCGAACACATGCCCATTTTCTTTCAGACACATGTGTACCCTCCGTTTGATGTTTTCCAGGACAGACAGCAGCACGACTGTCGGGATTGTGCGACATGCTTCCATTATATTGCTCTTCAGCATGTCCAAGGTCGCCGGTTTTGGCTCGTACACCCTACGTTTGAGATGACCCCAAAGGAAGAAATCCATAGGCGTTAAATCCGGCGATCGCGGCGGCCAACGAACTGGTCCGTGTCTACCGATCCACTTGAATGGGAAAGTCTCGTCAAGCCACCGCGTCACTGTAGCTGCTGAGTGCGGTGGCGCACCGTCTTGCTGGAAGAACGTTTGACACAGTTTCCCAAGTGGAAGCTGTTCAATATGCGTGGTCAACACCTCCGTTATCACCCTCAAGTATTCCGCGCCTTTGAGCTTGTCAGGCAAGAACACCGGTCCAATAATTTGCGTTCCATGCAACGCACACCAGACGTTCACCTTTACATCTCCTTGTCGCCGGCATTCCACGAAGTGTCGGGGGTTTTCACGGCACCACTGACGTCTGTGTTTATACGCCACCGGCTCATTCAGATGAAACGTCGACTCATCGGAAAAGATTATGTCTGCACACAGCGTTGGTTGTGTGACTAGCCGGTCTGTGAACCAATCGCAGTACGCGAAACGATGCTCCGGGTCGTGCACAAAAAGGGTCTGCACTGTGCGCGAGCTGTATCTGCGATAGCCCTCTCTCTTCAAGATCGTGGAAACGGAACCCACGGAGACGCCCAAACAAGCGGCCGCCTTACTGATCGAGGTAGTTGGATTTGAAGCGACAAATTGGTGAAGCGAATCCACGTGACAGGCGTCTGTTGCTGTGCGTTTCGCTCCTGGGGGCTTTCTTGGTTTGACGCTGCCGGTTTTGTGCATCCGACGAACAACCGCATGGCAAAGCTGAAATCGTGGCGTCGGACGTTCCGGGTGACGGCGGCTGAACTCGGAACAC